GAGAATAATCCTTGAACTCATTCAAAACTGATGCCTAGTATCTTACTCTACCCCATAGTTCTGCTACCCCCACTCCATTATAATCCTCAAGAACTCTTCTGTTACGCTCCAACCAAATGTTCCAGCAAACTGCCAACACCAAACAGCCCCACAAAGCTTTAGCTTTCCTCCCCTTTCCTAAAGCCTCAAAATTGGTGCTTAGAAACTCGAAACAACCCTTTGGAATGACCCAACTAACTTTAAATTCCTGAACCAATTTCCACCACAATTGTATTGAGTAAGAACAATGGAGAAAAATATGATTCACACTCTCCTCCTCAGATTTACACAAACTGTTCCAATGGGGAGAATTACAAATAAAAGGCCTTCGCCTTTGAACTTGATCACAAGTGTTGACCTTCCTAGTAGCCACTAACCACACAAAAACTTTGACCTTTGGAGGAGCTTTTGACTTTTAAATCTGAGAAAAGGGTGGAAAATGTTGCACAGTTCCATTGTTGCTCAAGAAAGAGCTAGAGGATTTGCAAGTGAACAATCCTGATAAGTCTAGTTTCCACCTTCTGTTATTCGCTCTTGATTGAATCAAATGAACATTTTCCACCTTCTGTAATAACCTAGCTGCCTCTTCTATCTCCAACTCATTCAAATTTCTTCTAAAATCAAAATTCCAGCTTAAAGAATGAAGAGAAAAATCCACAAAACTTGAAATGCTCTGGTTGTGCATTCTCGATAACAAGAATAATCTAGGATATTGCTCTTTCAATGGTCCACCTTCCAACCAACCATCCTCCCAAAACCTCACCCTCTCCCAGTTACCCACCTCAAACTTGCAACACTCTAGGAACGATTGAAGACCAGACGAAATATCTTTCCAAGGGCTACGACTTGAAACACGCAGTGAAGGATTTGCATCCCACCCATTATCCTGCGACCCATACTTGCTTCTTATCACCTTGTGCCAGAAAGAATTTGATTCCTTTGGGAATCTCCACAAAGATGCATATTTGGCCACTCAACCTCTTGTAGTGAAGGCCTCATCTGCACTTATATTCAGATTTTATAAGCATGTAAATAAATACATGATATCCATGATAAATATGTATATAAATAAGTGCACTTTATATGTATGCAAATGAGTGCACGTGTATTAATTAATGTCTATCCATGCAATTTTTATTTCATTTTATATTGGTAGAATAATTTTTCACTCTTGACTATTAAACTTGTAATTGTGAAGCCACCTGGTGATTTGAATAGATTACACTCTGTTCTAGGGTTTCTTTAGCTTTTAGTTAAAAACCACCACAGTATCGTGTTTAATATGATTTAGTTCTGGTTGTGCCTGTGTTGGAGTTTTGCAGAGTCAAAGAACTAAAAGACAAAGCTTGAAGCTAAAGTGAGTAATAAATAGTTCATAAATTATCTCTTTCAGGGTTTGGTTATGGTTTTCTTCAGAGCTTCATGGACAGAGCACATAGTCTTGACTGGTGAGGTGGTAGAAACATGTAGTGGCATATGTTCCATATAACCTTGTTACCAAACATTGTTTTTCTTAAAAGTAGAAAATGTCTTTTGTCATAGATTTACTCCCACCGTTCTCTTTTGTCTTGCCAACTACATGTCGCATCTCTTAGATCAACGCATCTGCTTCTCGGGTGACCACATAATTTTTATTCTTAATCTTATCCCATATGTTCTCAAAGCACTAGATTCACCCACGACATGTTTGCTCACAGTTTTACACAGAGCATGTTATTAGACCCCCTCACTAGTTAAGAACTTCGGCATTGTGCTCCCGAGTAACGAGAAGCTGATCCTTTTTCATCTATTGTGCTTATGCTTTTTATTGTCACATGTATACATGGTTGTAGTGAAGATGAAGAAGATGAGATAATTTTGGATGTTGAATGTCACTTTTCTCAAGCTAAAATTGGCGATTGCATCTTCGATCTTGGAGATTGTGCTTACATAGAGGTAATTTCTCTTTTTTCCCTACTGATCATGGGTGGTTTTTTTTTTTTTTTTTTTTTTTTTTTAAAAGCGATTACAGATTGCTTCCACATGCCCTACTTGTGTAGATGCCTTCTTAATCTGGAGCAATGTATTAAAAGCGTGAGGTGTGGGAGAGGCGTCAAAGGAATAGCCTAGCCTAGGCGTGAGGCGAAGCCTCACGGGACCTAAAATTTTTAATATATACACTGAGCGTACACATATATTACATTAAAAAAAAAAAGAGTATTAATCAATAATCACCCGAAGAACACACATATATTATAAATACATATACACACATGTATATACTTATATTATATTATATTTTATATATATATATATATATATATATATATAAAATAGAGGATGAAAAACACAATGAGCACACATATAACAATGCACGCAAACAACACACACATCCATTATATAAGAAAATAAAAATTAGAAAAAAAAAGGCAGAGAGATGATAGTGCAAGGAAGAGGTATGAGGCAGTTAAAACCCTACCCAAAATTTGGGATTGGGAGTGTTTAAAAAAAAAAAAAAAAAAAAAAAAATCCCCTGAGGCGCACCTAGGAGGCTCCAGCGGCGCCTTCCGCCCACTCCCTCAAAACAAAGGCGGCAACCCTCAAGCCCAACCTCACAGGGCACCTAGGCGCGCCCTGAGGCGAGCCTTTTAAAACATTGATCTGGAGTTATAGGTGTATTGAATATTGATACATAGTCTTATTTTGGAAGGTTTGTTGGATGTACGATGTATGGAAAACATCAAATAGGACCTTAACTCTTCAGAGTAGTGTTAGTTACAGACTTATAGTTTGTTTGGACCTATCCTGGAGAGCTCATGCATGGTATTATGTAGTTTTAATTGCATTCCGACGAGCATTTGAAATAAATGTTAAGTTAATTTTTACAGGGTGATGAAGGACAAAAGCATGTGGGAAGGATCATAGAATTTTTCAAGACAGCTGATGGAGAAAAATATTTCAGAGTCCAGTGGTTTTATAAAGTTGAAGATACGGTGAGTTTCTGAAATTGTTGAGTACGGACCCATGGTAAGGTATATCCCACTAACCATTCTTTGGTTTTTCTATTTGTTTCTCAGGTTATCAAAGAAGCAGGGACTTCTCATGACAAGAGGCGTTTATTCTATTCTACTGTAATGAACGATAATTTGATAGATTGCATTATTTCAAAAGTCAATGTTACACATATATCCCCTAAGGTATTATTAAATCTTGAATTCTACTGTTTAACAATTGACTTCTGTTAATGATTTTTTGTATCTTGCCATTTTGCCGAACACATGCTGTATATTATATTAGTGAAGTACTAATCTTTTTACTTTTTCAGGTAGGGTTAAAAGTGAACTCCATTTCGCCGTCTGACTTCTACTATGATATGGAATACTGTGTGGACTATTCCACATTTCGCTCCTTCATCTCTGGTTAGTGGATTATACAGTGCCAATGATAGGTTTATGTATTTGGTCCTATTTTTTTTTGAGCATGATTTATTTAGATTTGCTTTGCTCAATAGTTGGAATAGACTTGATATGATACTTTCAATATGATGCAATGTTTGGTGTGGTATACCATAAGATTGGATTATACTACTTATCCAGCCCAGAAAAACGAGGGAGGGGGTAGGGCAACTACTAATTAGAAAGTTTTAGAAACATGTACATGCTTTGTTTAATGCAATGAATGTGCATTGTCATGCTTTAAACCTATTGATCAGATTTGGAAGGAAAAAGTCTCCTAAGATACAAATTCTTTTACATTTATTGGGTAAAGGGAAAGTTAACCCTCAGTGATGCATTCTTTCTGAGGCTGGTGAAGAAAGTGCAGATCGCATTTCTCTTCATTCTCCCTTTACGTTACAGCTCATGCAAGTTGGGTGATTCCCTAAATTTTTTTGCCAGTAGCTATGTATGTGGAAGAACTCCTCGGGCTTCAGGGTGCTGGAAGTTTTTTGGTCATACGGTTGGTGCCAATCAAAAAGAATGTTGGGGATTGTTCACCTCTATTGTAATTTTTGGACGTCTGTATTAAAATTTTAAAATTCATTCATCATTTATTATAAAATTTAATAAATAATCTTGAATGACTTATTAAAGAAACTATATCTAATGGGATACGGAAATAGTCTGGTAGTCCTTGTATTTCCTATATAGAAAACGTTTTGTTTGTACTACTAAGTGGCCCTCCAAGATCTACCCAAAGGGACAAATGTAGACAAAAAAATTAAACTTTATACTGAAACGTCAATTCCCAAGATTTGACAGTTCATCGTTGTCTACTTTTACTTCAGATAATTCTGTGAAGAGCCACAACATGCCATCATGCAATTCAATCGAAGCAGTTGGTACACTGTCAACTTCAAACTTACTGGAGAATATGCCCAGCTCTGAAACTTACAAAGCGGAATTGGCCCTCTTAGATCTTTTTTGTGGATGTGGTGGAATGTCAACTGGATTGTGCTTGTTGAATTGTAATCTTGTCTTGGCCCAAAGATAATTGATTCGGCCCATACACAAAGAAAGATCCATGCACATGCTAGAGAATTCTAGCAAAGTTCAAGTTGATGGAAGAGTCTAGAAGAATGGTGAGGATTCCACCAACATACAAGATTAGTGTAGATAATTCTAGCTTAGGAAGGTAGTGGAATTATCTAGATATCTCTAGTATAATGTTTTCATGCTTCTCCAAGGTTCCATCCATGCCTATAAAAGGAGAAGGCATCCACATCATTTGCAACAACCAAGAGAGCAAGTAGCAAGAAGTGAGAGTGTCAAGTAAGAAGTAAGAAGAAGGAACAAAGCTTCTAAGAGTGTTTGAGTGTTTCCTCTTGTACTAAGTTTGTGAGTGAATAAAAACCTTGTGTAATACTTTGAGAATTCTTTCTTTCTCTTGCCTATCAATTCCGCTGCGTTATGTTTTTCTTTGTGAGATAAACCTCTCCAAGTAGTGAAGCATTTTTAAACCCCCAACAAAGTGGTACCAGAGCTATGGCTAGCAATGCTATGGTAGCCTTCCAAGTTCCAGTGCTCGACAGCAACAACTTCGATAATTGGAGTATCAAAATGAAGGCCCTTTTGGGTGCACACGATGTCTGGGAAGTCGTGGAGAAAGGCTACACTGAGCCAGAAGATGAAGCTACTCTGTCTCAACCCCAGAAGGAGAGTTTGAAAGATTCAAGAAAGAGAGACAAGAAGGCTCTCTACCTCATCTACCAAGCATTAGATGACAATGGCTTTGAGAAGGTCTCGAGTGCAACCTCTGCCAAGCAAGCATGGGAGAAGCTTCAAACCTCTTACAAAGGAGCCGAACAAGTGAAAAAGGTTCGTCTTCAAGTATTAAGAGGTGAGTTCGAATCTCTACAAATGAAAGGGTCTGAATCAATCTCTGATTATTTCTCAAGAGTCTTAGCCATTTCCAATCAATTAAAAAGAAACGGAGAAAAGTTAGAAGATGTTAGAATTATGGAGAAGATACTACGCTCGTTGGACCCCAAGTTCGAGCACATTGTCGTGACGATTGAAGAAACTAAAAACTTGGAAGAAATTAGTATAGAGCAATTAATGGGTTCGCTACAAGCATATGAAGAGAAACATAAGAAGAGGCAAGGGAATGATGAGCAGCTCCTTAAGACGCATGTTCAGCCAAAGAAGAAAGAAGAAAGCTTCGACAACGAGAGAAGCCGTTACGGAAGAAGTCGTGGTCGAGGTCGCGGACGTGGACATGGGCGTGGATGTGGTTGGAACTTAAACAACCATAGCAACTACGAAAGAGGAGAAAGCTCAACAAAAGGTCGCGGAAGAGGACGCTCAAACTCAAGGTATGAAAAATCTCAAGTTCAATGCTATAATTGTCAAAAGTTTGGGCATTATGCTTGGGAATGTAGAGCTCCAAACAGCAGACTTGATGAGAAGGTCAATTATGTGAAAGAAGAGAAAGAAGAGAATGGTGTTGTGCTACTAGCATGCAAGAACAATGATGGAGACCAAGACTATACATGGTACCTTGACACCGGCGCTAGCAACCACATGTGCGGAAGAAGAAGCATCTTCGTAGAGCTCAATGAATCAGTGAGTGGCAACGTTTCTTTTGGAGATGAATCCAAAATACCCGTAAAAGGAAAAGGTAACATCCTTATTCCCTTGGAAAATGGCGGTCACCAATTAATTTCAAATGTCTACTACGTGCCCAATATGAAAAGCAACATTTTGAGTTTGGGTCAACTCTTAGAAAAAGGTTATGATTTTCATACGAAAAATTATATCCTTTTTCTTAGAGATGACAAGGGAAGATTAATTGCCAAGGCGAAAATGTCAAAGAATAGGATGTTTCCCATGAACATTCAAAACGATGTTGCAAAGTGTCTCAAGATATGTTACAAAGACGTATCTTGGCTTTGGCATCTTCGTTTTGGGCATCTTAACTTTGGGGGAGTGGAGTTATTATCCAAGAAGAAGATGGTGAGAGGCTTACCGTGTATCAGCCACCCTGATCAAGTTTGCGAAGGATGTTTACTTGGGAAACAGTTCAGGAAAAGCTTTCCAAAGGAGTCGACCACAAGAGCCCAGAAGCCACTCGAGCTTATTCACACCGATGTGTGCGGTCCAATAAAACCAAGCTCTTTGGGTAAAAATAATTATTTCCTTCTCTTCATTGATGATTTTTCAAGAAAAACCTGGGTGTATTTCTTGAAGCAGAAATCAGAAATCTTTGGAGCATTCAAGAAGTTCAAAGCCGCTGTAGAAAGGGAGAGTGGTTGCAAGATCAAAGCCATGAGATCTGATCAAGGAGGAGAATTCACTTCGAAGGAATTTCAAGAGTTTTGTGAAGCAAATGGAATTCGTCGACCTTTGACAGTTCCAAGATCCCCTCAACAAAATGGAGTGGCGGAAAGAAAAAATCGAACCATCCTCGACATGGCTCGAAGCATGCTCAAAAGCAAGAAATTGCCTAAGGAATTGTGTGCAGAAGCTGTAGCATGTGCTGTCTACCTATCCAATCGATCTCCAACAAGGAGAGTGTGGGGAAAAACTCCGCAAGAAGCATGGAGTGGAAGAAAACCAGGTATTTCTCATCTAAGAGTTTTTGGAAGCATAGCCCATGTACATGTACCAGACGAGAGGAGAACCAAACTCGACGAAAAAAGTGAGAAGTTCATCTTCATCGGCTATGACACAAATTCAAAAGGCTATAAGCTGTATAATCCAAACAATGGGAAGACGGTGATCAGTCGAGACGTGATGTTCGATGAAGAAGGAGAATGGGATTTTGGCCCGCATGCAGGTGATCTTCACTTCTTTCCTCAATTTGAAGAAGATAATGAACAAGGGATGATGGAGCAAGCAAGAGAGGTTCAACAAGAATCCACTACTCCACCTACTTCACCAACATTAACCAATCATGGTAATTCATCAGCATCAGCATTGTCAAGTGGGAGTCTAAATGAAAGAGAAGTACCACGCACAAGAAGTATACGAGATCTTTATGAGGTAGCTGAAAGACTTGATAATCCTACACTTTTCTGTCTCTTTGCTGATTGTGAACCAGTTGACTTCCAAGAAGCAGTGCAAGATACTAAGTGGAGGAAAGCAATGGATGAAGAAATTGAAGCAATCCAGAAGAATGATACATGGGAACTCACTGTTCTTCCGAAAGGACACAAAGCCATCGGAGTCAAGTGGGTGTACAAGACAAAGAAAAATGCCAATGGAAAGGTCGAAAGATACAAGGCAAGACTAGTGGCGAAAGGCTATAGTCAAAGAGCCGGAATCGACTATGATGAGGTATTCGCACCCGTTGCTTGGTTGGAAACTATACGATTACTAATTTCTTTGGCAGCTCAAAACAGTTGGAAGATTCAACAAATGGATGTGAAGTCCGCTTTCCTAAATGGAGTTCTTGAAGAAGAAGTCTACATTCAGCAACCGTCAGGCTATGAGATCAAAGGGCATGAAGACAAAGTTCTGAAGTTGAAGAAAGCCCTCTATGGGTTAAAACAAGCGCCACGAGCATGGAATAGTCGCATCGACAAGTACTTTCAGGAAAACAACTTCATCAAGTGCCCTCATGAACATGCTCTCTACGTCAAAGTCAAAGATGGAGATATTTTGATTGTGTGCTTATATGTGGATGATCTAATCTTCACCGGGAGTAATCCAAGCATGTTTGAAGAGTTCAAGAGAGTGATGACCAAAGAATTTGAGATGACCGACATCGGGTTGATGGCATATTACCTAGGCATTGAAGTCAAGCAGAACGAAGAAGGAATTTTCATCTCCCAAGAAAGCTACACAAAGGAGATACTGAAAAAGTTCAAAATGGACAACTGCAAGCCCGTGAGCACGCCAATGGAGTGCGGAGTCAAACTAACCAAGTATGACAAAGGAGAAAGCGTAGATCCAACATTTTTCAAAAGCCTAGTTGGAAGCTTGCGCTACTTGACTTGCACAAGACCAGATATTCTCTATGTTGTCGGATTAATCAGTCGCCACATGGAGAATCCTACAACTACACATTTGAAAACAGCCAAAAGAATTCTTCGATACCTCAAAGGTACTGCTAACTTTGGCTTGTTTTATTCAAGTTCTGATAACTACAAACTTGTTGGATATAGCGACAATGATTGGGCAGGAGATTCCGACGATAGAAAAAGCACTACTGGATTTGTGTTCTTCATGGGAGACACTGCATTCACATGGATGTCGAAGAAGCAACCGATTGTCACTCTCTCTACCTGCGAAGCTGAATATGTAGCTGCTACTTCATGTGTCTGCCATGCAATCTGGCTGAGAAACTTGCTCAAAGAATTAAGAATGCGACAAGAAGAGCCAACAAAGATCTATGTCGACAACAAGTCTGCAATAGCTCTAGCAAAGAATCCAGTATTCCATGACAAGAGCAAACATATAGATACCCGTTATCACTACATAAGAGAGTGCATTGCAAGAAAGGATGTGCAAGTGGAATACGTGAAGTCTCAAGACCAAGTTGCCGACATATTCACCAAGCCACTCAAACAAGAAGACTTTGTCAGACTAAGAAACTCAATTGGCGTCACAAGACAAGATTAAGGGGGGATGTTGAATTGTAATCTTGTCTTGGCCCAAAGATAATTGATCCGGCCCATACACAAAGAAAGATCCATGCACATGCTAGAGAATTCTAGCAAAGTTCAAGTTGATGGAAGAGTCTAGAAGAATGGTGAGGATTCCACCAACATACAAGATTAGTGTAGATAATTCTAGCTTAGGAAGGTAGTGGAATTATCTAGATATCTCTAGTATAATGTTTTCATGCTTCTCCAAGGTTCCATCCATGCCTATAAAAGGAGAAGGCATCCACATCATTTGCAACAACCAAGAGAGCAAGTAGCAAGAAGTGAGAGTGTCAAGTAAGAAGTAAGAAGTAAGAAGAAGGAACAAAGCTTCTAAGAGTGTTTGAGTGTTTCCTCTTGTACTAAGTTTGTGAGTGAATAAAAACCTTGTGTAATACTTTGAGAATTCTTTCTTTCTCTTGCCTATCAATTCCGTTGCGTTATGTTTTTCTTTGTGAGATAAACCTCTCCAAGTAGTGAAGCATTTTTAAACCCCCAACAGTGCTTTGGTGCTAAACTTTCCTCTGTTAATCTTGTCACGGTATTCAACTTTATAAATATTTTTATATAGTCCCTTAAACATGTTGTCATGAATAGCTAATCTTACTTTTTAATTTTTTTTGTAGAAATGGGCCCTTGACAGTGATAAATCTGCCTGCGAAAGCTTGAAGTTAAATCATCCAGAAACGCAAGTGAGATATCTTATCCGTTTCTAGGTAATAGCCAATTTACCCTACAATGACATTACAGAATAATTCTATGCTTTTTTTTGTAGGTCAGGAATGAAACTGCTGAGGATTTTCTACAACTGTTGAAGGCATAAGGCCAACGATGTCGAAAGAACTCATCCATTAAGATCAAAGACTTCAAGTGTACCAAAGAATAGTAATGAGGTTGGTACTGGTGAATATGAAGTTTCGAGGATTGTTGATGTCTGCTTTGGTGATCCTAATAAGACAGGCAAGCATGGAGTGAACTTTAAGGTAAAACAAAAATGCTTCTAAGATGTCTGATGACAATATCTACAATGTCATTGAGGGATGCAAAAGATTTTGTGCACTCATAGCATATCATCATATCCTCTGGTTATTATTGAAATTCCTGAAGCTTAAAACAAAGTGGTTTAGCTACTGTTTTGTTACTGCTACTTACAAAACTTGTGTGTTACTATGTAAGGCAATCTATGTGTGAGTTGGGTCGGAAAACCTTACATGATTTCTTACATTAGGTACAGAGGATTGTAGTGTTAAATCCGCTTTTAGTTTAGGAGTTGCCGCTTTTTCATAGTTGTTACTGTTATTTTTGCTCCATGCAATTCGACTGTGAATTCCTCATTCACTCTTAATATTATCTCGTTTCTCTACAGAATTATTTATCTTAATAAATATTTAATTGTATTGTTTTTCTAGGTGCATTGGAAAGGTTATGGTAGCAGTGAAGATACATGGGAACCAATTGAAGGCTTAAGGTATACCACTTCTTATGATATGATTATGAATATGTATTTCCGCATCAGCACTAATTTTTTTTGTATCTTCCTTCCCAGTAACTGCCAAGAAAGTATACAGGATTTTGTAAGAAATGGGAGGAAAGTGAAAATTTTGCCACTTCCAGTAAGTAGTAACTGATTGAACCAGCTAAAGTAGGACCATATATATTGATCTTGTGTTGCGCTATCCGAATCCTAAATAGATATGTACAATTTCAGGGAGATGTTGATGTAATATGTGGGGGCCCTCCTTGCCAAGGAATTAGTGGCTATAATCGCTATAGAAACGTTGTTTCTCCATTGGATGATGAGAGGAATCATCAAATTGTAGTCTTCATGGATATTGTAAACTTCTTGAAGCCAAAGTTTGTGCTGATGGAAAATGTTGTTGACATTTTGAGATTTGACAAAGCTTCTCTGGGAAGATATGCACTTAGTCGTTTGGTGGATATGAAGTACCAAGCGAGGCTGGGAATACTTGCTGCTGGTTGTTATGGCCTTCCACAATTTCGGTTGCGTGTTTTCTTGTGGGGTGCTCATGCTTGTGAGGTGATCTCTTTTTGTTTCATTGTTTTAATAAATGATCGAGAGTAACATGAAAAATACAATGGGCATTCCATGAATCTGACCTGAAATTTCTTTTATGTGATAGCTAGATACTCGTTGGTTAATATTCAGTTTTGGTTTCCCAAAATAAAAGTATGGTTATTGTGTTTCTTTTCAATATGTATAGGGGCCATATAACTGTTTTCATCATCAAACATTAGAAAAAGAACAAGAAACAGAAAATATATCTTTAGTATATCTGAGTCACACACATATACATGCTCAGACAAAGCTAAAAGGCATGCCCAATGCATAAAATCCATAACCAGACTTGTGAAACATAATTCAAGCTCACTCAAATTCTCACGTTACCGTTTAATAATGCATTCATTCATTTTGGAAGGCCAAAAGAGCCTGACGTATTTTCCCCTCTTTTTTTATCTTCGCAGAATCTGCCACAGTTTCCTCTTCCAACACATGATGTCATAATGAGATACTGGCCTCCACCAGAGTTCGAGGTACTTCTAAGCAAACCTTAAACTTGCAGTTCTATTTTTCTTTACCAAATAAATTGTTTGCTTTCATGTGCAGCGGAACACTGTTGCTTACGATGAAGAACAACCTCGTGAATTATTAGAAAAAGCTCTTGTTCTTCGTGATGCCATCTCGGATCTTCCTTCTGTAAGTTCATTATCTTTGAAGCTAAGCTCTTCTCTTACAATTCAACAAATTTCTATTTGTGTTTAAATTTATAGGTCTCAAACGATGAAAAAAGAGAAGAAATGCCATTCCAAAAGCCTCCTGAAACAGATTTCCAAAGATATATAAGGTCAACACAGCATGGTAATATCACTATTTTCAGAACTTGTTGTATGCAGTTAATGTTTAACATCATCAGCATATACCAAATTTGTTCTTGGCCCTTAGAGCCCCCGTTACTATGCTTTTGGTAAACTTCTAAGGTTGATGTGGCTTAGCTCCTCTGTCATGATATGTGTTAAATTCCAAGTATTTCAAATGAGAAAGTGTGTTCTTACCTTTGCCCCTACTATCCACATTTGAAAGATAATGATGTCAAATGCTTGGCACCTGTGTTTAACATATAGAAACTTTTGTATAGTAGAATGGCAAATCTAACTGATAAATCATAATGACTAGCAACATTAAATTTTTTGTTTTTGTTATTTTGGTTTGGGTGGCAGGCTATTCATATGATCTGTTCTACGTCCATCTACACATATTTAAATGATTTCCATTTTAACTTTCATTTACGCTGGTTGTGTAGAGATGATGGGATCCGCGTTTGATGGCACTACGAAAGCAAAAGTTTCACTTTATGACCATCGGACTTACCACTTATACGAAGATGATTACTTACGAGTTTGTCAGATTCCAAAAAGAAAGGTTACACACACACACACACACACACAGACACACACACACACACACACACACACTCTATATAGCATGGATAAGTTTAACTTCACGTTTCTGTCATTCAAATTTTGTTAACTTTGTAACTGTCTGTTGTTTCTAAGTTATAGCTATTTTCAGGGAGCAAATTTCCGGGATCTACCTGGTGTTGTTGTAGGAAGTGACAATGTGGCTCGGAGAGAGTCAACTGAAAAGCATTCTCTGTTGCCATCTGGAAGGCCATTAGTGAGTGTTGATACTCTTTAAGTTTTGTTACTTAGATGTTAATAAGAAACAAAACAATATAGCTATGTACGAAAGTATAAATTATGGTGAGAATTTAGGTCCTCTTAAAGGGCTGAATGGAACTGAAAGGACACAAAACTGCTCACAGGAACCTCCGTAGGTTGAAATAAAGACTGTTACTGAAACTGATGTATTTTTTGCAATGTTAATATGTGTTTAAGTAAAATGAAAATTGGCTAGTGTGTAACCAGTGTTTTTTCCTTCTAGGTACCAGACTATTGCTTTACTTATGAACAAGGCAAATCGAAAAGGTTCTCTTTTTTTTTTTTTGTTAGCCGTCTAATGTGTTCTACCATTTACTGCTATTCTATTTCCTCACATTTTTTCTGACTTTTTTTTTAAATTTAATTATATTTTTAGACCGTTTGCGAGGTTAAGGTGGGATGAGACAGTGCCCACTGTGCTTACTTTCCCAAGTTGTCACAACCAGGTTTAACCATCCTCTCTAGTCTAGTTCTTTATGGCATTTCATCTTTTGAATATTGTAGTAACCCTATAGCCTTCTGTAGGTAGTATTACATCCGGAGCAGGACCGAATTCTCACTGTACGTGAATCTGCAAGATTGCAAGGCTTTCCTGATTATTATAGGTTCTGTGGGACAGTTAAAGAGAGGTATGGTCCTTCAATTCTTCTTCTGAACGTGATGTTGAATATTTGACTCCTTTTGCAAGTTTATTCAATAAATGATGCATTGTTTATGATTCGTGTCTGGTTTGTTGATCCGTATTTTAATATGGAAAACACTCATCTCCACTGTAACAAACCATTTCTCCTTCCAAACGATCACAGTTTGACACGGTTGCATAAACTTTTCATTTTGTGCTTTGAATGAGTTATTTCTGCAGGATCTGACTGAGGAAGAAAATGAAAGAGAAAACTGAAATATTTCTATAAGATGAGTTATCGTTGATTGTCTTATTTCTTTGTGCAGGTATTGTCAGATTGGAAATGCAGTTCCAGTTTCGGTTGCACGAGCTTTAGGTTATGCGTTGGGATTGGCAGTTCGAAAACTCAGCGGAAATGATCCACTCATGACTCTCCCCAATAAGTTTTCTCATTCAAACTTCTTCCAATTCACAAAAAAGTTGCCTCTCGAGACCGAAGAGTAATGATTCTCCCCCTCACCGGTAATTCAACTTGAAAGTCTTTGTATATAGGATCTATATGCATATACCTGGTGGGGATTCATAAGATTTAACCATTTTTTCAACCGGACTGTCCAATTCTTTCCCCTTTTTTGCACTTGCCCTGTCGTGTTGGATGGTCGATTCTGTCAAAATCTAATCCCAACTGGTGTTTTATTTCGCGCTCCTTGTTGTATTGACTAATTCTCAGACTTGTAACTGGTTCATTATTTTCATTCAGTGAATGCTTATCTTCAAGTGTTAGGTACGTCGCTCGTGCATTTTTTAATCCGAAAGGCATGAGTGTGTAATAATGATTTTATATGTGTTCTTATTTCATTTGCTACATGATTTTTGCGTTTACAGTTACATTTTCCAATTAATCAAATTTTGCTAGTGGAAAACTGTCTTTTGGAACTTGGCTCATCTTACAAACATGTTTGACATTCTCATGGGATAGAGCTTCTTCGTCTTTAATGTAATGATAAATTAAGAATGTATGGTTTGTTTACACGTGATTGGACTGGAATTTATAGCCTACGAAATTAAGATATGTTGAAGGAAGAAATATAAAATTACGATCGCCTAGAGGATAGAAGAGGGATTACTCTTGAAGAAAATTCATTCAATCCAATCCTGTTTAAAATGGTAGGATTAGAAGGGATGAATTTCCTTCATAGCTAACCCTTTTCTCGTCTCCTCCAAATGAAAAACCATTCCACAGTTCCACTTTCATTATGCCTTGAAATTTGAGGGTTCTCCATTTTAATCCAATCATCTGTACCAACATTCACCATTATTTCCTTTGTTGGAACAACTCGTTAATATGAAGACTCAAAAGTTAGAGAAGGATACATTACCACAATGGCGCCTCATGTCAAAGAAACAAAATTTTGCATATATTTTTGTTCACATATCTTTATTTTATTAACACAAAACAAAACGCTATTTATTAGTACATCCATATCAGATAAGTTGCCCATCCAAAACCAACCTTAATTATTTATTTTTAAAACACGCAAAGCTCCGAGTTCCCCACCGGCAGGAGGCAGTGCCTTCTCAAAAATGACACAACCATATGAATCCACCATTCTTTTTCTTAAAAATAATATGTCAACCAAATCTAAGAGGAAGAAGGGGGATGGATGGACAGAGACAGCTTTTCACGGACATAAATCAATGGCCTCCAGCAGGGACCCACCCTACCGGAAGGCACTGATAATATTCTCGCAGTTCCGTCGCATGCGGAGATTTCGTAACGTGTCCTTCTCTGCACATGCAACCCTTATTAGAAACCATGACTTGCCGTCGAATCAGCCAGCCCGCCAGCCAAACCTTTTATTATTAAGGGAATCATTGCTGCTTCCTCCTCAGATTCGTCGCACAACTTTTCTCTCCGATACAAATATACAATACAATTAACGGTTTGGATCACGCCGTATTACATTACTAACTAGTTAGCCATTATTATAAAAATGCACTGCCAAGACGTGATTAGTCGCGTATTAAGTAGCTACATACTTAGTTGGTGTTTGAGCGCTCTTATAGTTTAATCTTAACTATAGGGCAAAATCTAAACTTGACGAATGCAAAAGCGGAGTATATTGCTCTGACAAACTTAGTTAAACAAGTATAAATAAACATATGCTGTTTGGATAAATAAGTATAAATAAACCACTTGAAAACAACGCATTCTTGTTTTTGCTACAGTTTCTATGTTCCTTCTTTTTCTTACTGCTTCTGCTTTCTGTCTTTCCTTCCACTCCGATCAGTCTCTCTCAGGAGCTAATTTCTGCGTTTTTGAGAATCACTTGGCGGAAAAGCAAAAGCAGCTGCAACAAGCTAGAAGAATTAATCTGAATAATTGATGGAGAGGAATATTTATGTTAGTTCTGAAGGGGAAGGGAATTGTGGATATGAGAATGGGGTGATGATGACGAGAGACCCCAAACCAAGGTTGAGGTGGACGCCGGATCTTCACGACAGATTTATCGATGCTGTAACTAAACTCGGTGGCCCCGACAGTATGTGTCTTTTTTTACTTTCTTAAGGATGAATTTCTGTCTTTCAACGACTTGTTTCTTTTACTTCTTGTACTCCAATGAACTCTTTGGGATTTTTGAGCCCGGTATTTGATTGAATTTTGGGTAGGAACCATTTGAATGAACAGGGCATGTTATCGTGTTTAGACGATATACACATTTGAATTTCGAGCAATACTTTATCTGGCGTACTTTTCATCTCAATTCACAATTTGAGAATATAACATGTTAAACTGT